GTTTGTTTATGTATGTTTTGTGTTTGTTGTAAAGAATAAAAAATTTTATTAAAAAAAAGAAAAAAAGAAATGACTTAAGAACAATGTATGTTTGACCCATGATTTTAGAGAAATAACATAAACATTATACTTCATTAAATCAGCCTCTCTAGGTAAAATAACTTATTTTATAGTTTTTATTTGTACTGTAAAAATAATTGAATTCTTTTTAATCAATCAGCAAGAAATATAATCAGTCAACAGTACCACCACCACAAGAGCATCAGGAAAGTACGGAACACATACATACATACATGAAAAGAAATGAGCAGCAAAATAATATCTACTTAATCTACTTAATCTAATATCTTTGAAAACACATTGTGTTTGTATATATCTCCCCTTTCAAGGGAAGAAGAAATTGTGCTTACATATCACAAAAAGAGCCTGGCTTCTTATTATTGATGGCACAGCAATTACAGTTGATGATTTCTGGCATGGGGCTTCAATTAGCAGATTCAGATTCATTCTGATATGGAGGTTCATATAAGAACAGACACTCTCCAAGATATTTAAGGCTCGCACATTCTCTCTTTATAGGAGCCCATTTTATATATCTGAGATTTGGACTCTGGCCTAGGAAAGCTGATATCATTAAGCTACTGCAGGACTCTGTTGCCATTGCAAACTAATGAAGTCAGCCGAGAAGCATGCATTACACCTACTTCATTGTTCCATCAGAGTTATCAATAGTGACTGCACTGGTGTGTCCCAGGACGTAGCCGGGGATCCAGCCCTCGGCTGCGGGGCACTGGTCAGTGGCGGCTCGGAACACCAAAAACATGTTCTGTTGGTTGCTGGCTAAAATTTGCACGACTTCTCCTTGGTAGACATTAATCTCATCCTCCTTCACTGCCGTATAATCGTGTGTCACCAGCATGGTGGAGATATTGCTACTGCTGCTACTTTCACTCTGTAGACGAACCAATTAGGTAGAGAGAGAGAGGGAAAAAGGAGGAAAAAGTTGATAAGGCACACAAATAGAAAGGAGACACGTGTGATAAAATAAAAGACTGTTACCTTTTAAGCAGCTATATAACAGTGAGATGTTAAATAATGAAATTGAGCACTGTTATCTAAATAACTCTGCAAGAAGAAGTGTAAACATGAAGACTATATTCTAATTTTCTATTACTAAGTGCAATTATTTTAGAATATTTGTTTAGCTTCCTTTCTTGCAGAGTGGCAGCATGGTAAGCTTGCATGTCATGATGTAAGTAAAGACTTGACTTCTATACATTTTTATAAACTCTGTTTTCATTTTAAAGTGAAAACAAATGACTGAAGAGGATGTGATTCACTGTACTTCCTCTTGTTAGGATACAGGACCCTCAGATTCCAGGCTAATTGCAATATTAGATGGAACTCTAAATTGCTAAATACAATTTCCTGAGTTTCCTAAGGGTAGTTTAAGTGTGTTATGTAACTTTCCCTAATGTACTGTACTCCTCTAAATTTTTAGAACAATGCTCTGGGAAAATGGGAGTTACAGTATTTTCTGCAAAGCAACAGACAAGGAACGCTGGAGCCAATCCCAGGGCCTAAAGCCCCAACTGGCTTAGCAACTGTCCTTTGTTGGCTCATCAGGACATCCTAGAATGTGTGTCAAAATATTTCAAGGGCAGGGAGTTTGAAATTAGTTATAGACAGATATTGTATACATTTCTGAAGGTTGTCTTAAATTGAATTACTCTTATCCCCAACCTTCAAGCAATAGAGGACTCCAATAATAACATATCATGATAACAATATATGATTGTGTTTAGTTATACATGTACGTAGATGTATTTTGATTGTCATATCTGAAATGATCACTTATGAATGCAGAGAGGAAAGTACATCCTTTGCATGCAAAAATTCTCAAGTGTAGTCCTTGACATTTTCAGATAAAATCAGAAAACATTTTTATTTGAAACCACAAAGAACTACTGCCAGTTGGATTTGCTAATTTGCTAAACCAACACGTGGTCTCATTCAATTTAAGACAGCTTCATATATACCTAGTGCCAATTAACTGAGATCATACTCCATGTTCAACAATTATCTCATATCTATAGAAATTACATGATTGGTCGTTCTGGGAAACCTGAGCATTTACTTTTGTAAAGGGCAAACCTTCATTCATTGAAAAATCAAAAGTTTTATCTTCCTTTGGAGGTAATGAAAACTTTTAGTATTACTGAAGTATCAAAAGCAGAGTATTTCAGAGACTAAAAATCTATAAATATCCTCAGAAACTGGAAATGAATATCAAGCCAACTCACTTCTTCCTTATACACTGATTTTGATTCCACAATCTTGATTAATTACACCTTACTTTTCATTGTGTCCAAAAGAAAGGTTGATTTATTAAGCTGTATCTTAAACTAGCATTTAAGATGCTTTTTAGTAAACTGACATCCAATGACCCTTTCAGCTATAACAGGGCACTAAGGCTGAAAGAGATCAAGATCCAAGTGTTAAAAACTACAGTGAAAGCTAGGATTTTTTAGGAAACTGGAGTCATTTAGGAAGCTAGGACCATTAGATCTGAACTATTTGATTAAGTAAGCTCACAATGACTTTTCTAAACCTTGTAACTTTCTTGGATCTTAGTCCCTACAGGGTAATATTCTGTAGTTGGCATTGTCCTTGGCAATGATTTCCCACGTTCAACTTATGTACTCAGGCAATGTGACTATTTAAGATTAAATGTTATGATAATTTAATTACATCCACAAGTTCTGCAAAAAATGATTTGCAGACTGGATGTTGCCATCCACTGACCTGGAAGAAGGATGCTGCTTCTTTATCAGAACAGAATTCCTGTGAAAAAAATTTAAACAAGGGAAACTGCTAATGCTGAAAAGTGGTTTGTTTTTTTTTTTGCTTTTATCTCAAGTATTGCTTGTGTAGCAAATGTCAAGTCTTCCACCAAGAACAGTAGCCATATTTTATTGTAAATAACACTTTGTTTCTATGCAATCCTTTAATAATTGATGTTATTTTTTAAACATTAAGATACAAATTCTGCCATTTGCTCTACATGTCTGCACGCTTACGAATCCAGAACTCTAGTTTTCATATAAAATGGGGAATCTGTTTCACATCACATTTCCCCAGTTCAATTTTGATACTTTCACTTTGATACTTTGCATTAATAATACAAGGAACACATTATTTTTACTTGCAAACAGCCTATTTACACTGGCTGCCAAGCTGACATTTTTCTAAGAAAACAATTAAAAGAGGCACGCCACAGCCAAATTAAACAACAAAATAACAACAGGAGTTGGAAACAAGAGGATACATGCAAAGCAGAAGATCCGACCCTAAAGCTATGCTCTAGTAAGTGAAAGAAGAAGAATCAGGAGAGTGCTATATTGTTAAAAAAAAAAATGGGTAGTGCATGCTTGCAATAACATTTCTGAAGGCCATGTGATATGTAACTGATGGTGTGCAGAAGCTGTGAAAGGAGCTGTAAATTGTACAGTACACTGAAATAGGGAAAGGACAAGAGTTGATATGTACCCATCACATTCCCCATGAGCAGTGTTTAATCTTAATACTCAGGTCTCCTTTGAATGACATGACATGTTGCATATTCAAACAGAAGTCCAAAAGAGAAGCTGTAGATTTTGTTGGCAGACTTGCATACCAGATAGTGGACCAGCTAAAAACTGAATCTGAAATTAGTCTAACGCATAACTTCTTAAACACTTAGAGAGATAAGTGATGCAGCTAAAAATATAGATTGGTTATGGATAGTGCTATATTTGTGCATTTGAGAGCACAGGATCCGTTTTTTTCATGGAAGGTTCTTTGCCCCAATGTATATACATTTTAAAGATAGCAAGTTAATGGAATGTTGCAGTTCAATTGACATAAAAAAGAACTCAGAGTGGCAGTTAAACTAAACCTCTGTGTTCATCAGAATGCCAGGTAACAGAAACAACAGGGGAATAGGGTTGAATTCAAGCCCTGTTTGTGAGCTTCCTGGAAACATCTCGCAGGCTGCTGTTGGAAACAGAATGGGCTGGAGTCTGGATCAGCAAGGCAATCATTTTCTTCAAACTTCCATCAGTAAGGAAACAATAATTGTTGTGCTTGTATCTGAACAGAGGAGGAAGAGGAAACCCTGAACAAATCTGCAATGGAAATACAGAAGATGCATGAATTGAGCTCCACCATGGTGGCTGTGCACAGCATATTAAATTTGTGCCTTCATGTTAGACGAAAGAAAGCGAAGAGCAAAGTTAGTAGAAACCAGGCTAGCAGACCCTTTTTTTTTCAGCAGAATGAAGAGTTAGAAAGTTTTTCTGTGTATCTGTATACATACTGCAAGCCTATATCTTCTGTATACACACACAGACACGTTTCTACCAAAAATTGATAGAAAAAGGTTGGAGCAATTGATTATTATTGCAGAGCAGTGATACAGCACTGGAGAGCCAGAAGTTAGTATGGAGATATGATGGTCACGCACAAGAAGGGGAGATGGGAAGATTTTTAGAAGAGCTCGCAGGATAGAAGTACTCCAGCTCTTACCCCATTACTCTGGGTGGAGTGTACTGATTGTTCGCTGGTCGAGGAACATGTGCTCATGCGGTCTGTGTCCTTGCTGTGTGAAGAGTGACGGTGAACCTGGCGCTGGAGGGAGTCACTGTCCCCGGGGAAAGTGAAGGAGCCAGGGCGGCTGACAGGGGATGCTGGGATGGAGCTCCAAAAGGAGCCCTTCTGCAGGGGGCTGCTGGGTGTAAAGGTTTCCTTGCCAAAAGGAGATGGGAAAGTCACTGCAGAAGGAGAGTTTATTGGCGAGATGGCTCCTGGTCTTGATTTTCCCAGTGTCAATGATCCTATGTTGCTCCTTGAACGGCTCTCCTCTGAATTCCCACGGCATTCCCTCGGATCTGAATCTGCTGAGCCACAAGTACTTCCAGATGTCTTCCGGGGGCTTTCCATTGCTTTCATCTTGGGGATCTTCTCTATTTCTCTTTCTGGACCATTCTGCTGTACATTTGATGGATGCCTGCCTGCCTGGTTAAAGCCAGCCTCTAGAGTGGTGGTGTGGGGAGGCAGGGAGGAATTGTGAATGGACATACCTGACATCTTGTCTGCCTCTGCTTGGACTGAAGTGGCAGAGGAGACCAGGACTGGGGAGTGGTGTCGGACTGGCTGCGGGATCCGGGAAGGCCTGCTACGGCTGGAGCTGGGGATTCCAGTGCAGGTGCTAGGGCCACTGTTGTTGCTACTGCTGCTGCTGCTGCTGCCTCCAGGACCACTGTGGTTCCTCTGGTACTCAATGGGTGATGTCAAGGCTGCAATTAAAAAAAAAAAAATCACATAAAAATGAATGATGATGTAAAACAGTAAATTTGGCTAGTAGACAATAAGCAGTGGTTTTGATTGGCAAGGCTTACATCATCTGTGAAACACAGTTTATACCCCTCTTTTGAAGGTGAAATAGCCAACTAGCAAGTGAAAGAACAGAAATAAAAATGATGAACAACGTTCTTGTCAGACGTTCCAATGCAACATATGTTTTTATATGTCATATCAAAGCTTTGCCACGTGAGTCAACAGAATAATTTAGACATGAAAAATATAATTAACTAAACACTAAAGCCTGCAATGTATATAACATTATGTTTATCTCTATTACTTTATCTACATATTGATAGTTGCTACTACAAAATGGTGTAAGAATAAAACTTAGACAGAAGTGGTTCAAGATAAGCAAATTGTTACAGGTAGTCCTTGGTTAATGACCACTTGAGTCATTGGTGAGTGTTTGAAGTTACAGTGGCACTGAATGAGTGGTAGTAATGACTGGTCCTCAAAGTTCTGGCTGTTCCAGCCCCCCACAGTCACGTGATCACAATCTGGGCACTTGGCAACTGGCTTGCACTTACGATGGTTGCCGCATCCTATGGTCACGTGATCGTCATTTGCAACCTACCCTACCAGCTTCCACAAGCAAAGTCAACGGGGAAGCCGGCAGGGAAGGTCGTAAGTTGCTCGAGTAAGCCTTTCCCACTCAGCAGCAGCCACCCCCAGCCACACTGTGCTCATGCACTCACACTGCACTGGCTGTTCATGCACCCTTGTGTACCCTCCCCCACCGGCAGCAGCCACCCCTAGCCCTGCCACAATTGTGCTGGCCATACGCGCACCCTCTCCGCCCGGCAGCAGCCACCCTGTTGCACCGGCCATCTGCACAATCTCCCCCACCTGGCAGCAGCCACTTATCTGCCTGCTGGTCTGCTTGTGAGCCGCCTGGGACTTGCAACTTCCTGCTGGCTTCCCCACTGACTTTGGTTGTTGGTAGCTGGCAGGAAGTTGTGAGGAAGTCCTTGCTTAATGACCTGCAATCCTTGTTTAACAACAGCAATGTGGACTGCTGTTGCTAAGCGATGTGACCACATGACATTGCACTTTACAACCACATCACTTAGCGATGGATATTATTGTTAACTGAGGACTACCTGTAGTGAAATGGCAAATGAAAAATGTCTAGAATACAACTCTGTAAATATAGAAAAACAATAATATAGGAGCAGATTGAAGGAAAATAGAATAAATATTCTATATTTATGCAGAAAAATAGTGTATATATACTTTAGCAGTGGGAATAATAATAATAATAATAATGATGATGATGATGATGATGACGACGATGAAGAATTTATATGTCGTCCAACTCACAGTAACTCTGGCCAGTTTACAAATCGTTAAAAACATTTTAAAAAAGAAAACCGCACAAACAAAAATGGCTTGTAGACCATCAGCACTCCATTTACTCATAATGCCCCCAATGCAAAACTCATAGAAATGGATCCATTTTTTCTACAAGGACTGTTGAAGGGCAAGGCCTATGGCATCTGTTTCATCCCTTAATGTCCTGCTAAACTGTAAAATGAAAAGGATTGAAAATGTTGGCATGAAGCTACTGATCATGTCTGCTGTGGCCCCCAGACAGGTCATAAAGACAAAATAGATGTCCCAAATTTATTTTCGAATCTGAAGTTCAGTGTTATAAAAGAACACCTGAAATACTTGGGATGTTTAAGAGCTGCTGTATTTGAAGCTAAACCAACAATTCAATTTTATATGAAACTAAAGAATATGACAAAGATTAGTATTTGCAATATGTATAATTTGTGGAATAAAGAACTGGAATATACAATCATGAAAAATCAACAAACCCAAGCTTTAATCAATATTAAATATTATTATGTATTAATGAAATTAATTCATCAAAAATCTTGTTTGGGTTTATTGGACTCCCCAAAGAACATTTTAAAAAGAATCATGATCAGATTTTTTGTGTTGGAGCTGTACGCAATTTAAAGGCTTTTTGACTCATATGATTTGGTTGCATTCATTTATGGCTTCTTTGGTTTCAAGTAATTACATATGTTAATAGAACTTTGGAGAAAAATGTAGTCATTAAAGATGCAAATGTGATGCTGAATTGCACTCCAAAAAAATGGAATTTGACATCTTATGAAGAACTCTGGCTCCATCATGCCTGGGGTTTGGCTAAGAGAATCCTATGTGGGTGGAAAGAAAACAAAATTCCAGATGTGAAAGAGTGGATTTAAGATATGTTTTCTTGTCTATTTTTGAAATGTCTTTATATTGTAGAGAGGAGAATATGAAGCAGTATGTTTCTACATGGTCTAGATTTAATAATACATTAAAGAACTGAGCTGGTTGTATGTTAATACTATGTGGATCATTTTCTTTTTTTCTTTTAGTTTACTTTTATAACTATTAGCCATACTTTTTAATTGTACCATCACTACTGTATCATTTTTATCTTTGTTAAATTTCACAAATAATTTTTTGGAAAAAATTAAGAGCAGCTATGAGCAGGTATGATGTTACTAAATGGAGTTACTGAACTGCTTGTACAGGAACAGTTAAGGTGTATAACATGATTGGCTGTTTGAAATTTTTCGCTTACAGAATGAGTATTCAAAATTAACAAGCCAGGTTTATAACAAACAATAGTAATAAAAATGGAAAATGAGCATGAGCACCATATATTAAAGAATTCAGATCTTATAAATATAGATTATGGTAGAATTTCTTAATGTTGTAGCAAAAACAACAGAGACTCATAAAACAGTAAAGATCAACTATTGGTTACATGATCCATTTATAAGAAATACTGGCATAATAGTCATACAAATAATGTTGGATAGAAACATTTGTTTATTTGAAATGTGTACCTGTAATTTGGTTTGATACTATTGGATTGTTTCCAGGTTTATTTAAACACAATGAAGACCCAGTGAAATAAATAGGATTTGCTGCTCATCTTGTCCTACTGATTTCAGTGGGTCCATGCCATTGGATGTATGCTAATGTATTTTAAATGAACTAAATGATGGAAAATTATCCAGGAGACTGCTTGGAAAAAGCCAGAAGGCTAAGACAGGACAGGACAAAACAAAAAACATTCAAATAGGGTAAGCTTTTACAGAGGTGACTTGGATACCCATTCTAGCCTATTCTTAATTATATGCAAGATAACCACAACTCAGTGGCTGACATTTTGAAAATAAACCTCCATGTGAATCTGACAGTAGGCTACTGGAGAGAGATTAATATATCAAAAACATTTCTACAAGGATTGTCAAACAGTGATCCCTATCCCTACAATAATCTGAAATATATGAGCATTTTTAATATCTATGCATGGACAATTTTATCAAGAGTCAGGCCAGGTAAATCTTCCGAACAATTAAGCTAATCCTAAAACTTGAATAAACATAGAAATACAGTTCTTTTACCATTTAGAAAATTACGCTGGTTTTCCAAGATTTGGTTGATTTCATGGATCCACATTTGACGTACTCCTGGACTGGTGGAATGCAAAACAAAAGTCTCCATGACATCACCTGCTCTTGACGTTAGTGCAAATTTACATGGATCGTTGTCTACATTTTCCTCCAAGCAAAGGCAACTCACCTTTATTTAGACAGAAAAAAAGGAGGATGAGAATGTCTCATTTTCATCCCCGTGTTATTATTTTTTATTAAACATATTCTAACAGCACCAGTAACACTGATCACTAGTAACTGCAGACCTTTATATACCTGAATGAAGCCAAAAATGCAGGGTTGAAATAGCATAATTCACAAATAATATCTGCCTGCCTGCACAGCCAAGTCACTTGCAACCATAAAGTCATCTGTCAAATACTGAAATACAACCAACTTGACAGCAAAGCAATAACTTGATATTTTTGGGAAAAAAAACTTATTTTTTATTAAATCCACCCCCCACTTTTCTTTTTAACAGTACGATAAAATTGCATCAGGTCATAGGATAAATTCAGATGGTACAAAGTAGAAAAATGTATCAGCTCAGTCCTTTCCTAATTTAACCAAAGCTTTCCTACCTGGTTGTTTAAAGAACAATTCTAATTTGTATCTGCCAAGGAAACGCAGCAGGCACAGAAGAGGACGTTTATGTTTTGACACCAAATTACTTGTAAGTGATGACTGAGAGTCATTTTACACATACTAAACTTTGAGAAAAAGAAACTCTGTAGGTAATCTGCAGAACTAGCACTGTGGAGTTAAGTGCTACTCACTTGTAAACTTTAGCCACAATTTGTTCTTTTCATAAATTATCTAACACATAGACACAACTTCAGGAACATACGCTAGTTAACTTCAGAACAAGTATTATTACTTCAGGACAAAGTTAAAAAGTAAGGCAAAATTATACCAGCTGTAATGAATATTCACACTCAAGCTACATCGTAATTTCAACAAGCCAGTTGACAATCTGTGGTAAAATAAAGAAACAGTTTTGGAGAGGGTTGGGTTTTAATTTAGGAAATTCAAGATCAAAAAGTCATCCTTTCTACTTAACAATCCACACAGTGATAAGAATTAAATGCTGCTCTGACTTCCTTGTGAAAGGGTGGATATACCTTGGATAAAATGCTATTCCAAACTGTGTTACTGATAAAAGAATCTAATATTGTTTTGTAATTAGAGTCCAAGAAAAACAAGACTCAGGAAATTATTCAATGGATGGGCCAATGAAGAATACAGAACTCAAATTTTATTCTAGGGCCAAAAATATTGGACTCCTAGGGACTTAATCAGAGCAGCTGATTTCACATATTTGGGCTCCTCTGTATAAGTTCAATGAACACAGAGGTGTGGGAGCTATTTTGGATTTCCTCCTTGTTTTCTTCTGTATATTTTGCTTCACTCCATGTAAACCAGTGTTGTCCAAACTTGGCCACTTTAAGATGAGTGGACTTCAACTCCCAGA